TGGGGTGCAAATCCAGGTCGCGGAGCCCCACGCGGGGTGCAGGGAGGGGCTGGCCCAACTCAGTTATCCAACTCCAGCCTCCCCACGCTCCCTTCTCCCCGTCCATCACCCACCTGCAGCGGGACAGGGCAGCAGGCAGCACCTGGGGGCAGAGTCACAGCCACCTCAGCCATCAAAGCATCACCAAGACACCTGGATCCCTCCCAGTAAGTGGGATTTCTTTGGGAAATCACACAAAGGGCTGCCAAAAAAATCCCCGAGTCTTGCATAACCTCAGCTGGACCAACAAAAAGCAGGGCACGGTTTACAAACAATGCAAAAGAGGATTTATTGAAACCATCCAGGTTAGACCAAGTCCTACAGGGCACGAGTTGCAATAAGTTAAAGAACCAAACCAAAGAGTCTTAGTGTTAAAAACCACACTAACACATAACACAGTGATATATGCCGTCATCACCCAGCTGAGTTATTGAATCAAGGCACAAAGTCAGTCATTAAATATTGCAAAAAAAAAAACAATTACACAGGGAAATAAGCTGGGAAAAGGACTTGTTTTGTTAAGAAGGTGTTGGTTTGGCACTGATGCATTTAATTGAGCTGCCACAGGGAAATCTGCGTTTCCAAAGTATTTGGAAACATTTATGAACAACTTAAAGCCAGAAAAGCCCCTCAAAAGCCAAAAATCCTGCTCTCCTGAAGGAACATTCAGTGTACCCATGGGAAAGGTCAGGTCTGGGCAGGGATCTGAGGAAGGAGAGAGCTGAGAATGCTGTGACTGCGGGGAGAATACGGCCCGGGCACCTCGCTCCCTGCCAGGGGCATGTCAGTGGGATACAACCCCCTGGGGGTCCCACAGCCACACTCCCAGCTCAGCCCCAGCCAGCGGGAGGGCAGGATGAATCCCACCCTCACAGCCCGGCTTCTGCAGGGCCAGCGCAGCCCCTGATCCCTGCAGAGCTGCTGTGGACTTCCAGGCTCCACATCTTCATCGTGCTGGGCAAAGAGGCAACTGAAGCCAGGGGACATGGCAGGGGACATGCCTACACCCCCAGACTCAGAAAACAGTTTGGAAATTGAGGAACAGAGGAGGAAACCCACCATTGTGAGTCCAGGGTGTTTTGGGGGTTGCAGAGTGCTCTCCTGGGAGACACCCCAGGGGTGGGCTCCCCACCAGCACAGCTCTGCAGAGGCCCACAGCTCTCCTCCTACACGGCTCCTTGGACTGCCTGAGCTACAGGTCATGGGGCAGAGAGAGCCAGGGCACCCTTTGGGCAACTGCTGGGCCAGCTGGCAGGAGGAGAGCATCCAGGCGGACCCCTGACCCTGCAGCTCATTTCACTGCCAGACTGGGAGAGCTGAAGCTGCGGGCATGAGCCTGGGTGACACCAGCTGCCAGAGCCAGGAGCTGCCCCGCTGCAGGTTCAAGCTCAGCAGTTGCCACAAGAGAAGAATTGATGCTTGACCCTACACAAGCCAGCTTCAGTTTCTCATCCTACAGTATTTCCACACACACATCCCCATCTGGGACTGGGCAAAGGTGGGAGGCAATGGCCAAACCCTCTCTGGTACCACAGAACTCGAGGTTATTTTTAGGGTGTGTGTTTTGTGTCTCACCAGCCAGGTGGATGCCCAGCACCACACGGACAGGGCTCGCCCTCGGGGTGGCTGGTGTGAGGACTGCAGCCTTCAGGACTGAGCAGCCGATTGAAAACATTTCCCAGGCTTTGCACCTCATTTCTACTCCCCACACCATCACCCACCGAGGAATGGGGCAGAGCAAACACACCACGCTGCAGAAGTTTCCAGGGGAGACATCAACATCACACAGCAGCTTGTCCCATTCCCTCGGGTTTCCAGGCTGGACAGAGGGAACTGCACCTGAAGATCCTCACCCAGCAATCCCGAGGGCAGGGAGGGAGCACAGAGCTCCAGAGAGTTTGCTTTGTTTCCCCGAGTGACCCATGTCCTACAGCCTGTCAACCCCCTGGCTGAGGGGACAGGGCTCAGAGATGGGTCCTCAGCAGCTGCAAGACTGGAAGGGTATTTGCAGGAGGGCTGGCATTGCCACGCAGGTACAGGGCTCCCCAGAGCAGCAAGCCCAGCTCCCAGGCAAGGTTAAAGCGCAATTCTACTCTGAAAACACATCCTAGATTCCCCCAGCACCTCAAAACCAGTAGCAGAGGTGGAGGCTGTGCCAGCAGGGATCAGCCAGCCTGGACTCAGGGTGGTTTTCAGATCACCTAGAATCAGACTGGGGATGGGAGGAACACTGGTGCCTAACTCAGGGTGGGAGACCAGCTCCCTTTCTGTGTCACCAACACTGCACGGCCTAGCTGGAAAGGAAGCAACAGAGGAGGCTTCTGACTGCAGAGTGGGGCACATGGGCTGTTTTTAGGAGAAAAGACCATTTTCTAAGTAGAGTGACACTTTAACCCGTGCTCCGCTGGCCCGGGTGACACTAGCCACATCATCAGCCACAGCTGGGGTCTAGCACTACACACACTCCACGACTACCAAAGCAGGGGCCCAAATCCAGGAGAGGGCAATCGCAAATCAACCTGCACCCAAGCGCCTCTCCCCCAGCCAGGAGAGCTGACTCAGAGAGGAAACCCAACACCACACATCAAAGCTCCACTTCTCACGCAAGCACCCCAGAAATAACCAACTCCTGCATCCCCAGCAAGCTAGTGTTTTCCTCCAGACACAGGCTGAGTCAGCACAGTTCTGTGGGCACAGAGGGATCGACGGGAAAGCCCTCTTCCCCGAGCTGACAACACTTCAGTGGTGGCCAAGCACTGAAGTCCCATCAGCTCTGAGGACAGATGCCCTGGCAGCTGCCCCCACAGCCTGGGCGTCCGCAGACACTGGGGGTGCTTCCCCACCAGCCACGCTTTGGTTTGCGGCCCAAGAAGGGCAGCTTCCCGTTTGAATTGGTGACCTGGGTTTGGGGAGAGCGCGGCTGCAGGGGAGAGGCAGCCTGGAGACGCCTGGGCCCGGGCAGCCCCTCCCCCTCCCTCTGCAAGCTCACACTCGGCTGTGGAATCGCATCCTGTAGAGACGGTCGCGGACGTACTGCTTGCTGTCCACAGCCACCTGGCTCAGCCAGATCACCCTGCTCTCAGAGACATCCTCCTTCAGCTTACGCTTCATCAGAGACACCGAGCCGGGCTCCTCGCTGGGCTGAGGCCCCCTCAACAGCACGTAGCAGGCATGACGGCTCCGTTCAAACAGCGTGGCTGTAACACAGAGCGGAGGGAAAAGCCCAGCCTAAGGTCTCTGCGTTCACACTGGTCACCAGACCCAACACTGCACACCCACAGAGTCCAGGAGGCACCAGAAGGCCAGTGTCCTCCTGCACCTCCTCCATGGAGGGCTGGAAGGAGAGGACTTACCATCGAATGCAATTATTTGGTCTGTGCTATTGCGGAGCTCCAACAGGACATTAGTGTAGGAAGGATGGAAAAGATACAGCTTCTGGAGAGGAGCTCTGGATCTCTGCAACCAACGGGACACTATCAGGACATGGACCCACATGTTATCCCAGAGACAACAGCAGCACCAGGCTCCCCTATGACTCACACTCGACAGAATACATCCAGTCAGATACTTGTCCACGTCTGCCCAACTCATCCTGTCTGACGCCACCAGTACTAGCACTGGGATTTTGTTTACTGCTTCGTGCTCTCCTCCCCACCCCAAGCTTCCTGCAAATAATGAGCAGAGGGCTGGAGCACCTCTCTTATGAAGAAAGGTTGAGGGAACTGGGCTTGTCTAGCTTGGAGAAGGCTCCAGGAAGACCTGACTGCAGCCTTACAGTACTTGAAGGGAGTTTATGAACAGGAGGGAGAGCAACTTTTTGCATGGGCAGATAGTGATGGGACAAGGGGAAATGGTTTTAAACTGAGAGATGGGAGATTTAGGTCAGATATTAGGAGGAAATTTTTCACCCAGAGGGTGGTGAGGCACTGGAACAGGTTGCCCAGAGAAGCTGTGGATGCCCCATCCCTGGAGGCATTCAAGGCCAGGTTGGATGGGCCCCTTGGCAGCCTGATCTAGTGGCTGGCAAACCCTGTCCACAGCAGGGAGTTTGGAACTAGATGATCTTTACGGTCCTTTCCCACCCAAACCATTCAGTGATTCTATTAAATAGGCCAGGCTGCTACAGGCAGGAGACAGATTTTTGCCTTAGGGCTGGTAGAGTCAGCAAGGAGAGCACAGGAAGCTCAGCTGGTGCTCAGGCATCCTCCAAGGCACAACCTGTCACTGATGCTGCCAGCCACTGACCCAAAGGGCTGTTTCACAGCTGAGCTGTGCATCGAGCCTGCCAGACTCTGCCTGACCACAGAGAGGACATTCACGTGGCTGTGGGAGATCCCTGTGAGCAGTACTGCTGCGGGAGGCTCCAGGCCAAACAGCAGCAACTTGAGGTACCAAGCCAGCAGCCTCTCACCTCACCTCCAGTACCACACCAAGGCAGGGCTCTGGGCAATCCAGTGACTTTGGTCATAGAGCCACTAAATCCCTTTTCTCCATGTAGCCAGGCTGAGGATGGCAAAAGCCACCAGCAGCTGCTAGCAGGGACATTGCTATGGACACTGTGAGGACCCAGTACAGAGCAGATCACAGGCAGAGGTCTGCCTGCTTCTAGCAGACCAGACTGGTCAGTGACCCCACACCCAGCGCAGGAGGCCAGAGAGTTAGTGGAACAGACAGATGCGAATGTGAAGGCTGGGAAAAGGGAATTGCTCCACCCAATTCTGGCCCAAAGTCTGGAGAGCAGCAACCATTCAGCAGCACTACTCACCGTTTCGTTTCCTGGTGCCTGGTATTCACCCCAGATGAGGAAGGTGGAGCGGTGATCAGCAGTAGAAAGTGTGGCTGGCGCAGGGCTCTCTGCTCTTGAGTTCAGCTTCAGGTCCCACTGGACTACTCCAGATCCACTCTCAACAATCATAACCTAGCAGGGAAGGAAGAAAAGGAACTCATATCAAAGAGCTCTAACGAGACATGAGAGAGAAGTCAAGTCAGCTGTCTGTACTCCACACTGTCTACAGGAACAAGTATCTGACACATGGGAAGATAAGGAAATACTTGAAGCTGAGCATCACAGAGCTGTGAGACCTGGGGCAGGCCACATTAAAGTCACAAGTTTTGCAGCTATCTCAAGGGGTTCAAAGCTCTGTCATTGAAGCCTCTTGCTGAGAAAAGAATTAAAGTGCCTGAGCTGGCTCCAATAATATGTTGAAAGAGATCCTTTCCCAGCCTAAAGCTTCCTAAAATCAGCCAGAGGGAACACATTCCACCAGCTGCCCTTGACTCGATGCCTGCTTGAGCCGAGACACGCAGAGAAAAGGGAAGTTAAAAGGAAGAGTGTTCAAACCTTCTTTCTGTTGGGTCCAATTTCACTCTCAAGGACAATGCCAAGAACATCAGGTTTGTAATAACCAAGCAGCGGCTCACTAAGGGAGAGAAAGAAAACAGACAGATCACCACACACCCTGATGGCTTGGGCATACCTTGTTCCTTCAGAGCAGCCTCTATCCTCCCAGCAGCTCTCCTGGTAAGAGACTTGGCTGCTGTGTGAGGTTAGTCTGGTACCACTCCCAGCTCTGAGCACGGTCCTAAGACAAGAGTATCCCAGCAGGCACAGATGAAAAATCAAAGCTTTGGGCTCCTCCATTTTGAAATGGCATCTGATATTTGCTAGAAGGGGACACATAATCCAGTAAGTGTGATCCAGGTATGACCACAGAGCAGGCTCTTGTGTATCAAATTAATTTTTAAAATGGCATCTTTTAGGACACTGCTGCTGCTGGGAGTCTGGAAATGTCTCATCCAACCCACATGGGTGACACTACCTCACAACACGGGACACGTTGAGGGTCCACAAGGTCTGAAGATTTCGTGTGTTGATGAGTGTAGCCATCTCTGAGCTCACAACCAAGATGTTCTCCCGTAATCGCCCAGGAATTTTTGCCAGGTGACGAATGTCTCCAGAGCTGAACAAGGACAGAGAAATGATTACACTTTCTAGACTGTGGATGGTTTTATTGTGGGGTTTTGTTTTTTTTCCTGCACCCCAGCCTGCTGTCCCCCCTTTCCTGTGAAACCCTGACCAGGCCATCACCACCAGCCCTCTCCCTGAGCTTTGGATGTGCTCCTAGTCCAAAAGCCAGGTAGCCAGGAAAGAACAAAGCCCCAACAGGCCATCCTGTCAGGAACACTGCTACCCTGCAATCCACCAGCAACCCAGACACAATCTCCCACCTCAGAAGGGATAAGCGGTGCGTGGTGCGGTCAATGATCTTCTCCCACTGAGGATCTTGCTCAAGGCTGGGAAGTTTAATTTCCATCCCAGTTGCTGCACTGTAGAGATCTTTGAGGGAATATGCATAGACAGAGTTTTCTGTGCAAAAAAAGCAAGAATGAGGGAGATAAGTTAACCTGCCCTTGCTCTGAACTCTACTATTTTCCAGATCTGGCAGATCAACTATATTTTTAGGGCTTGCATCACAGAGTGGTAGTGGTATTTTGAGACTCAAGCCTGCTTTTGAATGCTATTAACATCTTATCTGTTCATAATCCAAGTGTTCCACAGTAATCATTTGCTATAAATGACTACTTAAATCTTACATTCCCAAGATTTTTCAAATAAAATGACTCTTAGTTTAAGCAGAATCCCCCCCTTCTCTTGGCCTTGAATAGCTCTT